TGACTGATTCAGTAAGAAAAATGTGAGACTGGAGTTCTGCTTTAACCCCAGTGTATGCTTCCACGATGGGCCAGCAAAAGTGTGGGGGCTCCTTCACACAATTAGCACCGACTGATCAACGCCAGTCACCGATGGGGCACATAGAAAGCAATTGTGCTGTGTGGTACATGACATGCTGCATTTTTCCACAGCGCATCAGAGGACACTGAATGGTGCCCAGGAGACCTGAATGGAGTGTACAGTTTGTTCACTCTAAATAAAGTTAAAAAAGTAAACAGTGGTAAACCAGCAATTCACACCACCCCACATGACTTCACTCAGCACACTAGCCCGCAATAGGGTGCAGGTTAGGGTGACCGATCCCTTCACAAGGCTGTGCAGCTTGAACCCGTTCTTATACACTCAACATGTGGATCTCATCTGGGTTCATCCTGTGAAAAACACATTGAGGGGAATTTATCAAAACTGGAGCAAACAGAATCTGGAGCAGTTGCCCATGGCAACCAATCTCGCTCAGGTAGGATTTGAAAATGAAAGAGAGAAGCTGATTGGTTGCCGTGCAAATCTGCTCCAGATTTTGTCTGCTCCAGTTTTGATAAATTCCTCCCCAATGTAAATTCATTGTAAACGCACATAATCCACAATGAAGAGCGTCTGTGTTTCCTTTTACAAATGCACTATGAGAGATTAGAATTGCGCTCTGCAAACTGCGTTGGTGACAGACGAGTGAATGTGTGGTACAGGATGAGAGCTGCGAGCGTGCTTTTGTCAGGTCAGGCTCATACTAATACGAGCCATTTTATTCTATAAAGTTATATTTATATTTTTTTATACAAGCAGTATTATGTACATAGTTCCGCACTATATTTAAGCCGATGGCAGAGACAGCAAGGTGAGGTCATGTGACTGGCATCTTCTTGCTTCATCTGTTTTTGTATGTAATGTTTTGTATGACAGAATATATACATTTATATACGGGTGGCTTTTATTTTGTTTTGGTCTCAGATATTACCCAGATAGCGAAGGATCACCCGCGCTGCTTCCTGCGGATTCTGAGGACATAAAGCAGAGCCCAGATTTGGGTGATCAGTCCTAACCAGCTGCTCACAGCACATGTGAGTCTCGATCCGTCCTGTGTAGTAAGGCCTGTTCACACTTCTCACTGCATATACATTTTTTTAAGGGACACTATACTCAGGATTTAAATCTTAGGCCTCGTTCACACCAGACACAGTGCGTTCCGTCACAATTCTGGCCGGAACGCACTGCATCGCATTGCGGCCGGGTCACTGTGTTCTGGGGCAGGAGGGGGCGTGGCGGTCCATTGAAGTGAATGGCACCGTAGCCATGTCCTCCGAACAAAATGCTGCAGGCACTATGATGCTGTGATGTCTGCAAGCACTTGCAGCATTTTGTTCGGCATTGTTTGCCTTGCGTTCCCGTGTAGCCGGACGACGTGGCTACGGTGCCATTCACTTCAATGGACTGCCCCACAACACAGTTGAGTGAGCCAGCCGCAATGCGTTCCGGCCAGAATCGTGATGGAACGCACTGTGTCTGGTGTGAACGAGGCCTTAAAAATACATCTAGGAAGGACAGTGTCAGCACCAATTCAGAGATGATTGGAGGACCTACAGCCGAGTGATACACAAATAAGATACATTGTTTGTGCGGTGCCATTGACTTTGATGCACCGCCACGCCCCCTCCCACCTCAGAACGAAGGGGGGAGTTTAGTGTGCGACTGCTGTACGTTCCAGCAGCTACTGCTATGGAACGCGTCGCAATTGGTGTGAATGGGCCCTGAGGGTCTCTCTGTGCTACTGCCTACACAATGTGCTGTGTATAAGCATTGCCATTTATTTTTATTAGCACCCCGCTTGCATGCGCAGGGTAATCAAACGCACTTTCCCCTCAGAACAACAGGTACATGGGTTGCCTTGCGGCACGCTGAAGGTAAGTGAGGCAAGGGTTTGACCCATGGAGGCACAATGAGGGTCCTTGCAAATGAACGGGCAACTCAAAGAGCATCAACACAGACATAAGGGTGAAGGTCATCCGAAACAATGCTTCATATATAAGGGAAGGAAGGGAGGCGGGGAGAAACCTTTATTGTGCAGTAATTACAATGTTTGTAGTTTAGTGATTAGAAGTGGAAAATGATGACTGGCATCGAGAAGCTGCCAGAAACCACAAGGGATCTGCAATGTGAAGAACACATAGACCTTTGTGGTTGTGGTGTGTGGCCGTTCTGCATGCCTGTGGGCAGAGGCCCAGGACCTTTTTAGCTAGGATTTTCAATGCATAGAGTTGTGCATGGGACCCAAATTGCGCGACAACCGGACGAAAATAGCTCCTGCACCTTTTTGTGCGACAGGCGATTTCTACCGCGCGACAAATTGCAAAGGTCTGAACAGCTTCCATATGGGTACCTTTCATTGCTCTTATAGACGTAAAGACATCCTAGAGCACACTCCGGATTAAGTTTCACTTGTGTGCATGAACAAGTTATAACTGTAGATGACTGCCGCACTCCTTACCGAATGCCCTTTATGCTGAAAGGTGCGTGCTGAGGCGACTGTGGATGGCGCCGCACATCACAGTGTACATCAGAAATGCCACCAGCACACCAATGGATAATATCCAAAATAAAGCGTCTTTTATTCACGTATATTGTCACATCAAAGATTGTCACATGGTAAGTCAGGCTTAAAAGAGAACTATGGGGTAAGTGTTTTTCCCGATAGTTCTCTTAAGGGTCACGGGAGGACATATACAAGCGTCCTCCCGTGACTCAAAGCTCAGTATATCGCAAACTACAGCTCGCTGTATACTGAGACCGCCGCAGCCGGGACGGATCCATCCAGCTGCGTAAGTGACAGCTGGATCTGCCTATCTAGAGGCAGAGCCAGTTGTACCCGCCCCCTCCCCCGTCTGGCCAGTCAGCACTGGAGGATCAGAGCGGAATCCCTGCAGGGAGCCGTGACTGGCAGTCACGGCTCTCTGCAGGGAGATGATCGAGAAGTGAGCAAGCGACAGTATGTGTTTGCTCACTTCCCGATCTACTGAGCCGACCTGTGACAGTTTCATTGTCACAGGTCGGCTCAGATTATGAGGCTGAGTGATTTTCACTCACCTCACAGTTCTCCTTTAACATGACAAGCAACATGTTAAGCCTGATGAAGGGGACCCTGCGTGGCCCCGAAACGTTGCATTTTTGATGTGACAATATGCGTGAATAAAAGACGTTTTATTTTGGATATTATACATTGGTGTGCTGGTGACATTGCTCATCAATAAGTTTGCTGGTGACATTGCTCATCAATAAGTTATGTCACCCATGGCCAGACAATGGAGAGAAGTAGCTAAAGACAGAAATATCTGAACCCAATTAAAGACCAGGAGAGCTTGGCAGTGTGGGTGATGGAGGGACGGGGGAAGGGATGGTGCTGGATGTCCCATCAGTGAAGGAGGGCACTTTGGGAGATAGGTCAGCCCTCTTGACCCCACAGCTTTTTGTATACACATCTGCTTATCACTACAACTTTGCAGAATACCACCAGCTATAATGTACTATTGCTGGGATTTGTTGTAGTCCTCTATAGCTGGTGATATTCTGCATTGCGCTGTATAATGTACTATTGCTGGGATTTGTAGTCCTCTATAGCCGGTGCCATTCTGCATTCATTGCTGTATAATTTTACACTTTCCTTTTCACTATATTGCACACCACACTATTTTTTTCCACCGCTCCAAGCTTGCTCCTGTGATGGACTACAATCTCAATACAAACTAGTAGTCCATCACTGGAGCCATTTTTAATTTTTTTATTTATTGTTTATCCGATTAACCGATTAATCGAACTTAATAATCGGCTAATCGATTTTGAAAATAATTGTTAGCTGCAGCTCTACTTTACACCATCAAGTTTGTCTGGATGTCCCATCGGTGAAGGAGGGCACTTTGGCAGGTCGGCCATAATTATTGAGAGAGCCCTTTTGACCCGTAGCTTGACCCACATACCTGCTGATCACCACAACTTTACACCATCAAGTTTGAGTTTATGGGATATAACAAGAGAGCATTTATGTAATAGCTTTGCCAATACAAGTGCCAGATAGTACAATAATGTATTTCACAACAAGATCGGTACGCCTAATAGACATCCAATGGTGAAACCCAAAAAATGGTGAAAGACGACGGACAGTCTAGCTGGTCTGGTAAGTGCTATTCCTGGCATTTGCAGGTCCATTCGGGAAGCCGGCGAGGGAGCTCCACCAGCGATCAGAGATCCAAGGCCATCGCCCCAATAACACTTTGTGCTGTGCAATAGGTGTATGCTTTATAAATAATTAATTCTGGCTTGGCGGCCAGACCTTCCTCGCCCCCGCGAGCACCGCGAAGGTCCTTGCCCACTGTAACGCCGCAGTCCTTGGCACTGGGAGGACCTTGCGAGGCCTGGGTTTTATTTTTGTGGCACACCGATCACTGTCCTGGTGGTCATCACAGTGGGA